AAAGACAAAACAAAACAAAAAAGAAAACAAACAAACAACAACAAAAAACAGCCACCAACATAGTAGTCTGGATGAACCACATTAATATGTTAAAGACAAGGCAGGGAGAGAGTCCAGGCTGCCCCTGGGGCAGGACTGAGCTCTGAGAGGGCTGTCCGACTCTTCCTGTGCTGACCTAGCACTTCAAGAAGATTTTTTTGGTTCTCAGTTCATAGAGTGCCTAATGTGCACAAAGCCCTGGCTGTAATCTCCAGCATTAAAGACAAGGTGGGGTGGTGCAGGCCTATAATCACTGCACTTGGAAGGTGGAAATCAAATGATCAGGAGTTCAAGGTCATCCTCGGCTACACAGTGAGTCTGAGGCTGGGTCTCAAAACAAAACACAAACAAGCAAAACTGGTTTGTTGCCCAAAGGCTGCACTGGAGACCCACCCTTCTGTTTTTTCTAGGATAGTACTTAGGTTATAAACTTGTCTGTTTGAGGTTTTGTTCCAGGGAATCAGAACCTGGGACACCGTACTCCCTGCCTGCACAGGAAGAGAGCTGCTCCTCTGTTTGCTCTGCCTATAAGGCAGGAGGGAGATCAAATGAGGATCTAATTGACATGCCCCAGCCTGCTCCCATTTGGATACATCTCCCTCTGATGTTTGAAAGCATCTCCAAAAACCTCTTCTGTGGATGATTCTCAAGGACCCTCACAGGGAGAGATGAGTCCTTAACTGTAATGGGAGTGGGCGCCCGTCCAGATTCATAATCATTCTGCCTTCTACACTGAATGTTGAATTCAGGCAGGGTTGAGGCTCTGATTTCTTACAGTTAAGATCCTAGGAGTGGAACCAAACCAAGGAGGGTCAGGAAAGGAAGCCCTCGTTCCTCACTGTCCCAACAATTATAGCTGCGGGGCCTTGTGGCACATGCTTATAACCCCAAGACTTGGGAGGCTGAGGCAGGAGGATTGGGAGCTAAAAGCCAGCTAATGCTACAACAGTGAGTTTGAGACCAGCTGGGGGCTATACAATGACACCGTCTCAAAACAAACAAACACACAAACATGTTTGTCCCCGGAACTTGGATGGTGTTCAGAAGAGAGCTTCTGGTAGTTGCTGGGCACAGAAACAGAGCACTGAAAATGTCTTCTTTGAGAATCTCAATATTTCATTTTAGCTAATTCTAATTCAGTAATGAATAATTGATTATTTAATTTCGTCTTAAGTAGCCACACGTGGCGTAGCTGCATGCAAGGCAGCAGAAGCCATGTGTTTATAAAGGTGATTCGTTAGGAAGAGGAAGGAAAAAGAAGAGCATAATGTGAGCATGAGGCCAAGATTGGCATCTTTCCTGAGCAACCTTAATGAAATTTCTGAAGAGCAGAGGAGCCGAGTGATAGTCACGCATGAAAGAACACACATGTGGCTATGGATGCAAAGCCCTCACTACTGGACTTCTGAATAACTGTCATCCACACAAAAGATGATGTATTTTATTTCAGTCGATTTACAGCACAGAAATGGATAATCACTTGTGTTTTTACTCTCCTCCTCACTCTCCTTGTGTCTGTATATGTCCAGGCTGGTGTGTGTGACTATCAGGTTAAGCCTTTGGGATGTATAAATGTAACAGACTCCACAGCTTACACCAACTCAAAAGCTCAGAATGCCATCAGGTAGTACCTGAGACATGTAGCTGAGTTTTCCCTGATTTGCTATAAACAACCTATCTGACATTTCCACTAATGTATTTTCAAAACTGCCTTGGCTTACAATTTCCTTTTGCTCAGTTTTCCTAAAACCCTTCCCACATTAGAACATGTTATTTGAGAATCTCTCTTCTCCGACTATGTTCACTGTGAAGACTATTCTTGGTTGTCAACTTGACAAACCTAGGAAGCATGACTATGAGACATGTTCTTGATTGCTCGTCGATGCAGAAAGGTCCAGCCCACCAAGGGTGGTGCCATCCCCAGGATGGCGGTCATGGGTTGTAAAGAAGCAGGCTGAACATAAGCCAGAGGAAGCAGGCAAGTAAGCAGCATTCCTTTGTGGTCTCTGCTTCACTTCCTGCCTCTAGGTTCCTGCCTTTGCTTCCTTTGATGGTGGACTATATAGTCTGTAAATAAACCTTTGCCTTCTCCAATTTCCTTTTGGTTATGGTTTTTACCACAGCAACAGAAAGCAAGCAGGAAAGTCACCCACATTTGGCTTGACATTAGCCTGTCTTTTACTCTTCCTAAAGACAGAGCTGTGTTTTGGGTCAATAGCTATGAGGTGAGATAACACAAAACAACAAAAACTGAACAAAGACATGGTCTTGTATGGACTCACGTTCAAACTTGTGACATTATTCTTGTGTTGCCAAAGAGAAACATGAGACACTCTGGTCTGGTGAGCAAGCATTGCAGAAATTAGCCTTCTTGCCCCAGCGCCCCATGATGTAGAACTCTGTATCTGTTACCTCAGTCCCTGAACACACCAGTAAACTTTGATGTGAGGAAAACCGGATACTAAGAAGTTCACACTGTAATGTTTGTGTTTGTTTAGCTGTGGCACACGAGCTCCCCTGGGACTCCCAGACACATTCTGAGGACTGTGACTTCCAGCATTTCAGAATACCTTCAGATACCCATCTTTCATCCTGGGGAGTCTTTCCCGTAGCTTTTGGAAATTTGTGATTGCTGTTTGCAAAGCACATCTACAGAATACAGTGTGGTTAAGATCTCACAAAAAGTGATAGGTAGTGAGGCAGAGCTGAGTCATCTGTGATGGACAGCGTAGGCGTTGCTTCCATTACGTTTAAATACCTTCTTTATATTGGTTTTATTTATGGGTACGTACACTGGCAAAGAACAGCTATTAGGGCTGTAAATTGCAACTGATACGGAGATTGATAGCCTTAAAAATAGTCCTTGAGGGAGTTTGGGGTCTGGTTTAACCATCTCGGAAATGTCTCTCCTCCAACATTCACAGGCGTTCTAAAATTTATAAACCTGTGCTCACACTGCCCACGTGGCTCCCAGAGGCAGGACTGGAAATTTGTCCCAGAGTCCAATGTCTGAGAAGAGCTTCTCTGTGACATTCTGGGTGTTACCCATAACATGTTGCCTGAGGGTCACGGAAGCTAGACTCAGAGCTGGGTCCTGGGGCTCAAACCATCAAAAACAGTTATCATCTTCAAGAAGGGCAGAGAGGGGAGAGGGGTCTGGTCACTTCCTTCATAGTGGCAGGAGAGAAGGGAAGGACTCCATGGGCAGGGATGGAGCTCTTCCACACACAGGTTCTGCAGGCCAGCAGGAGCTTGTTAAATTTCAAGGAACTTTTCTATTCTGTTTTTATACACAACTGCTATTAATCCAGCTGGGTGCACACCTGTGACCCCAGCACTCAGGAGCTAGAAACAGAAGGATCAGGAGTTCAAGGCCAGCCTTGGCTACCTAGCAAGTTAAAAGCCAGCCTGAGCCACGTGAAAGCCTACATGGGCTTGAAAAGTAAACCAACAACCCAATCATGAAGTTACATCACACAAAAATATATTTTAAAAGCAAAGTTAATTCTTGCTGAAACCTCTGATTATGGGACCGTTACTAGGCAGGACCTAGCTGGTAAAAGCAGGTCACTGAGGGCAGACCTTTGAAAGTTCTATCCAGCCTCTAGTCCCAGACACTCTCCACCTCCCAGCCCACCATCATGTGAGGAGGCTCAGCCATGTGCTCCCTCTGCCTCGCCTTCCCTGGCTGTGATTGACAGAGACCCTGAGCTATAAGCCCTCCACTCTTAACTTGTTCCTGCCCAGTGTTTCTGTCACAGTGACGCAAAGGTCAGTAACATGGAGGTCAGGCAACTTTACCAATCTGAGCATTCTCTTGCGGAGGTTTGCTGAGCGTGGCTTTCAAAAGGCCCTGTAAGACCTTCACACCTATTTCCCTGGTCTATGGCCTTTAGGTTTTGGATAGAGGGGACAGGAGTCAAGGAAGACTCCACAGTTTGCCTGGAACTGTTTGTGACAGAAAACTACATCCCATGGTGCCCCTCTTTCCTTTAAACTGTGGTCAGATTCTTATCAAACTGAGTTGTTCGAAAGAGTTCATTCGTAGTGGAAGTTAACAGGCAGATAAGCAATTTCTTCCTTTATTTTCCTGCCCCTCTCTGATATCCCAAAGGTAGAATTCAGACAGGTGTAAATCACCGAACATTACAGACTCCATTGCAAGCTGGAGACTGGAGAGGATGTGAGAAAGTGCTTAGTATGGCAGGCCCTGTCTTTCCCAGCTGGGGTCACCTAATTAGGCGGCTGCTGGAGTCCATTTGCCCGGCCACCTGTGGTGAGCATCATGTAACGGAAGGACAGAGCCATGGTCCATGCAGCAAATTTCTACCCAGTCTTAACAATGAAATAGCCTTGACACCCACACGGCTCTACCTCCCGTGGGTGTGAGTGGCTAGGTTTAAATATGAAATATCACTGTCCTGTCTTCTGTTCTCTGATGACCTCGGGCCAGCTGACCTACGGAACTCTCAGCCAACCCTAATCCAAATGAGACTTAAATTAGACCAGCAGCTCCCTTTCTGTTGGTCTGATGACCTGGAGTGTCTACTTTCCCGGCAGGCTTAATAACAAATATAAACTATCTGAATGGCTACAGTTGCATCAGTTAAAGCGAAGATGGCTTGCCCATTTTGACCCAGTGTCTTTTTTATGTTTGATATACTTCCTTAATTAAAAAGGACGCTGTGATCAGAATTGCAGCGTTAGGTGGTTTTGTGTGTGTGAAGGCTGGGGGACAGCTCTTCGCAGTACTTACGCTTAGTGAGTCCGGCTTTCCTTATTTTCAACGCAATAAGCCAGGGTCAGAAGGGACACCTTTTGGTGCTAAAGTGGACCTTGGCCTCCGTCTCCAGGACTTCTGAAGCTGCTGAGGGGAGCCTGGAGATCAAGTCTTCTTCACAAGCAGATAAGATCTTTCTTCTCCTGTCTAGCACCCTCCAGGGCATGTCACTGCACAGAGAACAAGATCACTCTCAGGCTATGGCCATGGGCCCTGCTCCTGCCAACGGTGTTAGCTGTCTGTCCCTGGGAAGCGAAACCAGCCCGCCTCAGAGCCCCTTCTCTTGTCTCCAGAAACCATCTTTCTCAGCTCAGTTTAGAGTTGATGACTCTACCAGGCTCGGTTGCATCATCTCTTAGGAGAGTTTCCTGACTGTCTGTCTCCTTGAACCTCTCCATTGTCACTTCAGCACTCGCCCTCACGACCTCCTTCACCACACACAATGCTGTCAGAGGTCATCTTCCTTACCCATCACTTACTCACTGCAGATCGATTTCTCTTGACTTCAACACAAGCTCACAGATAGCAGGACAACCCCTTGTTATCACCTTGGATCCCAGGGCCTTGAACAGGGGTTCCACTCAGCATGTTTGTGATAAGTAGTTATTGAACTATCAGGAACATCTGTGAGCTTTAATGTAAACATGGGCTCAAAACAGCCTTGCCTGGACCATGCCTCAGGGAGAGAACCAGACTGTAAAAATGTTCTGGTGTCCAGTTCTGTGGCTCTCTATGCTTCCCAAGTCCTGCCTCTCTGGGAACCCTATCCCAGCACTCTGAGAACCATAGATTCCATGAAGGTTAGATTGTAGCAGAATCTCTTCTGAGGTCCCCTGAAAGAATACAGTGGGAATGGTTCTTTTTTCTTCTTAGTTTTTTATTGTGTGTAGCCACATATTTATGGATGATTATATGTTTGTGTATGTTCATGTATGATGTATGTGTATGTTCACGTGCATGGATGATGATGAGTGATGAGTGTGTGTGTTTGTGTGTATGAGTGCAGGTGACTGAGTGCCACAGAGTGCATGTGGGGGTCAGAGGACAGCCTTGGGTCTTTGCTTTCCATTTTGTGGGGGGCGGGATGTTCACCATAACAGGTAAGCCTCCCAATTTGCCACAAGAGTACAGGAAGTGTAAGTGTGGGCTGCTGAGTCTGGCTTTGTGTGAGCTCCGAGCATCAGAACTGAGAGTGTTACACTCACACGGCGAGCACTGTGCCCTCTTGAACCGTCTCCCCAGAACAAGATTGCTTCTTAACGTGACTGTAGACAGAAATGGTCTGAACTCAAACCTCAAGTCAAGGTTGTAATCACCATCGGCATGGCACATGCTGAGATTGCTACCTGCAGCAGTGACTAGTCAGAGCCTCTCTCCATGTTCCCTAGACTCGGTTTCCCCTCTAACAATGGCTGACCAGAAGAGCTCTCAGGAGGTGACATGTCGCTTGCAGGGCTCTGAGACTCAATAGACAGAAGAATAGAGCAGAAAATAGCCCAGAGCCACCATGCAATTGCGGGGAGTGGATCGTGCTTCCCTCTCCAACTGGCCGTGTGACCCTGGGCAAGCTCCTCGCCCTCTCTCTGCCTTAGGGTCTCATTTTTGTGATGTGAACTCTCACTGGCACACAAGCTGCTTAGGGATGTTGTGAATGAATGAACGCCAGGCATGCAGTCAGCACAGGGAGCAGGCCAGGTGCCTGTAAGTTCTTCCTTAGCCAGCACGGCCACCCAGGGGGAATTTGCTGTCTAGGGGAGGAAAAGGGTGGTTAGAGGAACATGGAGTGTGTCTGGGAAAGGCCTAGTGAACATTAGTGACTGCGGTTTCAAAGAGACTCTCAGCATGAGATTTAGGCTGCCACCTTGTAACACAAACAGCTATCTGGGGACCACCGATTGTGTTGAGTAAAACCTATAGATGAGTGATTACGTGTCCTGACCAATGTTTATGAAAATCTGGCTGCTGCAGAAAGGCTGCCTGATGGGACAGAGACACCTTGGGGTTCCTTGCCGACACAGAACCCATACTTCTCAGCACAGTGATGTCGTTGTTGTACAATTTTACGTTAGTTTGCTTCACTGGCTGACACATGGAGGCCTTGGCCAGGAGAAGGAAGCTACTGGAAGTCTTGCCTTCTTCTCTATATCCTTGCCTTCTTGGGACTGTCCTTGAAGTCTCAAATCCAGCTTTAGCTCTGTTGGCCCGCAAAGGAAGAGATGGTAGAAGGTGAACATAATGCATGTAAACCACTCTCCCCCTGCCTGGGACTGGGGGCTCCACGGCAACCTCCCTGCTCTGCTCCCCTTCCCCGGGTGGTGCAGGACTCTGTAGCTCACAGGTGCGGCTGCGGCTGCTTTCCTTCCCGTCAGGGTTCCATGCGTGGCTGCCAGTACACCAGGGTGGGAGAGGTCACATCTCTGGAATTCCTTTCCGTTTTGAGTCAGAGGAGCCGGCAACTGTTGGCTCCCAGGGCTTGGAGCCAGAGGTAAAGAGGAGCTTTGATCAGGCTTTTGTGGTACCTCCTGCTGGAGAAAACATCCGAGGGCAGCCGGGTTGCTCAGACCATATATCCACCCCGTGTATACACATATGTGTTTGTTATGGGACTTTCCTAGGGAGATATGAATGACATCAGTGCATCCCAGATAGAGGGGACATCAGCAAACCAAAGAGAAGTGTTCATCCAAGACTGAGCCAGTGAGTTTGTGCAGACTGTTTACAGGAGCATGGGCTACTCAAAGGCAGCCACGTTGAACACAGTCCCAGACCAAAGAACTCTTTATTTTATATATAATGGTGATCAGTATCTTGGGGAGAGGAGGGATTGTGTGAGGCTATCAGGGAGTCCTGTGTCTTCTAAGCCTGGTGAATTCTTCCTAGTCCTCCATATAGGAACATTAACAGGCCAGATCTCATAAAGGTCTTGTGTAGGTGATCACAACTACTCTACTTCAAGATGGAAAGGGTCCCATCCAGTAGAGAGACCATCCACATTACAATGATATAGTGTTATGATAGTGCGTACATACACATGTATGCGTGCAATATATTGTTATAATATATGCATATGCATTACACAGTATGTATTTACATGGGATAACCCTTCTGTATGCTGTGAATATATATTACTCTCATTCGTTAACAAAGAAGCTGATGGTCTCTAGCAAGGCAGAAGAAGGCTAGGCAGGAAAGCCAAACTGAAAATGCTGGGGGGTGGAGGGGAAGAAGGGTGGAGTCAGAGAGACGCCAGCTAGCCACCAAGCAAGCAGGACATGTAGAAAATGAGGTAACAAGCCACAAGCCACGTGGCAGAATGTAGATTAATAGAAATGGTAAATTTAAATGTAAGAGCTAGTTAGTAATAAGCCTGAGCTATCGGTCAAGCATTTATAAGTAATATAAGCCTGAGCAGCTTTTTGGGAACTGGCAGCAAGAGAGAAACATCATCTGTTTACTATACACACACACACACACACACACACACACACACACACACACACACACACACACACACCCCCATCTATTTCACTTATATACACCCTGTTATATAGTCCCCAAAGTTCAAGCCTTAGAAACCTGGGCCCCAGGGCAGCAGTGCTGAGAGGTGGGGTCTTCAGGAGGTGATCAAGGCACAATGTCTCCTCCATTCCTCTATTCCAACATTAACAAAACAATAGGTTGTCACAGGGCTGGCTTGGTTAGGACCCTCACCTCCTCTGGCTGGCTTGCTGTGTCTTACCATGTGACATCCTTTGCTGTGCCATAATAGAGCTTGGCTGAGCAGAGTAGATGTCAACACTAGGCTCTCAGACTTGTTAGTCTCCAGAACCAAGGGCCAAATATAGCTCTATCCCATATAAATTAATAAACTGCCCTTCTCAGGTACACAGCCATAGCCACAGACACACCTGTTCTTGTAAACAAATATGTGATACATCTAAGTTCTGGTCCAAATACTGAATGTTCTGGAAAGGTGTCAGATGAAAAGATACCTAGGGGAATCATGAACGTCTGTCTGTTTGAAGGGCTGTTGCCATGGCAGCCCGGCCCCCTTGGGCAGCCTCCTAATGAAGAGTTATTACTTCTTAGCTAAAACACATTGCAGGGAAGGATTAGTCATCAGCTTGCCGGGAGATACAACAAGTTATTTTTTTCTTTCGATTGCTTTTGGATGTAAACACCCTGATCTATGTGTGACAATTCATGCCCACGTCTGACTCACTCACCCCCACTCTTTCATCACTGAGCTGGCAAAGGAAGGGATGAGCGGTCTCTATTGCCCCCAGGGACCCCTCAAACAGAAGCTGTGGGTGGCAACTCAGATGCATCCTGTGGCAGGAGGGGTTCCGGCCAGAAAGTCTCCATAAAGCTGACAGACCCAACTGTCTAGCAGTCACTCTGTCTCTGGTGGGAATAAACCCTGGGCTCCTCTGAGCTGTGCATCAGAGCTCAGGTGCTGGAACAGTTCGTTGTTCGCAAGAGCTGTGGGAGGAGGTGCCTACCTCTGGCCCTCAGGTCTGGCCACAGTCCTCTCCTGGTCCTCCTGTAGTCCAGGGCCAGCCAGGGGAGAGAGGTGAGAGGATCAGAGAGGCGCTGAGCCTTCCAGGCTTCTGAGCTGTGTGGAAGGCTTACATTTCCCTCTCGGGATCTGGAGATGTGTCTGATAGGTGAAAAGCTTACACCCCTGTTTTTACTGCTGCTTCTACGTTCCCGAGATGTCCTTGTCCTCCTCCTGCATCCCAGTCCTCAGGCCAGCCCCCCAAGTAGATGAGCATCCACTGCAACATCCACAAAGGAAACCCACAGAAACACCCCACATACTTATGTGCCCCTGTGGGGATAAAAAACTTTAACTCCACAAACCCATATGAGTCATCTTTGATTTGTGGGAAAGATGTTCAGGCCATGTATGTGTCAGGCATAAAATATGTAAGGTAATAAACAATAGAAACAACTATAATAAATAATTAAGATGGTTTCTTCTGCTGCTCTGAACCCACAGGGAGAACCCAGGAGAGAGAGTGAGGAGCATCTCGGCCATTTTCTCAGCCACCCTCTTCCAGTTTTCTTTCAGTTGTTGTGACAAAACAGTTTGGCCAAGGGAGCTGGAGAGATGGCCCAGCAGCTAAGAGCACTAGCTGCTCTTACAGAGCACCAGGGTTCAGTTCCCAGCACCACATGGTGGCTCACAAACATCCAAAGCTCCAGTTCCCGGGGATCTGATGCTCTCTTGTGGCTTCCACAGGCACCAGGCAAGCACATGGTGCTCAGACATACAAGCAGGCAAATACTCATTCACATAAAATAGCTAATATATATAATCTGATATCTATTTCTATATCTACATATATTTTTACTGGCCAACAGCAACTTGGAGTTGAAAGGACTTATTTGGCTTATACTTTCAGGTCACAATCTGTTACTGAGAGAAATCAATGAAGGAACTCAAGCAGGACCCTGAAACAGAAACCACAGGCTATAACTCTATGGCACAGAGGAACCTGATTGTGGGCCTCACTCTCTGGCTTACTCACTCTGGTACTCAGCTAGCTTTCATATATGATCCAGGACTATCTGCCAAGGAATGGTTCATAGTAGGCTGGTCCTACCTACATCTTATTATCAATCGACACAATCCCCCAAGACATGCCTATCTATCGACCAATCTGATAAAGACAATCACTCAGTTCAGCAATGAAATGCAGCTCCCAACACTCATGTCACGTGACTCAACTGGTGTAACTCCAGCTTCAAGGGATGGGACTCCCTGTTCTTGGCCTCTGTGGGCACATGAATATACAACATAGGAATACCTACATACAGATCTACACATATCCACACACAAGTAATAACTTGTAAGTTATTTTTAAAGATTCCCTCTTCCTGGGCACAGGAAAGGAAAAACTGAACTAGTATATAGAAAGAAAAAGTGTAGGAGCTGAGGCTCTGGCCAGCAAAAGGGACATCACCATGTCACTTACCGCTAACGGGAAATTGCATCCTCTTGGAGCTTTGGGGATAAGATCATTTGGAAAAGCTTTACAAGGCACAGAGGCTGCTGCCATTTGTTGGCTGTCTGCTCTCTGCCTGTAAACTTTGCCTGATAAGAACATTCAGGGAAGGGGCCCTAGATACTGTCCCTGCAGGTCCTTGGCTCATGCTCAAACAGCAAATCCTGTAGAAGATAAGGAAATCAGTTGGTTCTTTAAAGTTAAAAGAGCATGGGATTTAAAATGTCATTTGGTGGATGGGTGAGTTTTCCCACAACCAGACACCCCAAATAAACCATATTATTTAGCAAATGTCCATGGGGAGACAACCAGACAGATGTTTAGAGAGTGAAGAAAGAGCTAAAGGTGTCTGGAACACAAAGACTTCAAGTCTAGGAAGAAAAAATGGCCTTATGGATGACAGGGATTTAAAGGTTAAAGGACCTGGCTCATATGGAAAAGAAACAGTTTTGAAACTCACAGACTCACAGTGGAAATCACAGGTGAACCAAGTGCAGGGCAGGTGTGAAGAAGAGTAGAAAGAAGGGAGAAATTCACCCTAGAATATAAAGTAGAGAGGGTTTGTTTTGTTTTTTTTAATGAATTTTTTAAATGACATTATCCCCACCCCACCCCTGATAGCACACACGCACAATGTCTGCTCTCTCAAGTAACCCATATGTCTTGTCTACCCCAAATAGCTCACACTTCTGATGCACTTTCTTGCAAATTACTAAGAGCCATGTTTGGCTCTGAGACTAGGCATCCCAACCCCTCCCAAGAAGTAGAACTGGTCCCTAAGGTCAGATCCAACTGTACAAAGTAGAAAAGAATTGCAAGAGCAATGTTTAAATTGGATTCGTTATTTGCTTGAGCAAATGCCTGGTGCGTTTTTTTGAGCTTCATTTCCGTTTTGTTTATCTCCAGAAGAAAAGATAATGAGACACAAAAGTCTGCAGCAGAGCTGAGGTGGGAGATGCTTGTATCAGAATCCTATCTGCCCACCTGGCCCCTCGGCTACCTCTGCAATATCCATTCCATGGTGGCATTCACTACTTCTGTGAAGGCCAAGGTCAGGGAAAGAGAGCGTGTGCCTAGCCTTCCAGCTTCATGTTGGGCCTGGGGAAATATTTTAAGTATTCCTTTAAAATATTAATGCAGACACAACGCTGTTGGTCATATTCAGGTACATATTCAGTGGGGGCATGGGGACATTTGAGGGGAGCAGCCGGATGCACTTGAACATGACAAGTGAGTGTGTCCCATCCATTCTGTAGAGTGGTGTTGTCACAGGGACTCCAGCCTCGTGATTAGAGCCGCACAGAAGAGACTTTGTCCCCACTCTGTGCTATAGGTCTAAGCCAGTGGCATTTCCAGTGACTGAGGAGTGGACCTTCCCCACACACCAACAAGTCGGACTCTTGGAGCCTCCCTGGGGGCCAGTACACATTTTGCTAAGAGCCCAGAGGTGGAGAGGTTGTGTCAGACCCAGAACTGCAGCAGGCTGGGCTGCCATGACAGCCTGGTGTAGGGGGTGAGGGCAGGGGGCGGACCCTTGCAGTCCCCAGGCCCTAATGCATTCATTGGTGGGACTGGGCTTTGATTTGCAGTGTGTCCCCTTGGTACTGCCCGTGCTAGCCTTGGTGTCAGGAGCCTCCATTGTTCCCCAGTTCCCACCTCATAAAAATCTGCCTTCCTTTGCCTCCCCAGTGCTGGGATTAAAGTCATACACCACTAGGCCTGGCTGGCTTTTCTTTAAATTAAATATATCTTCTCCAAGCTCTTCCTTAATTCCTTTCTTCATTTGTACCCTGCTTTGTGGCCCTTCCTTCCTTCTCTGCCCTGTCTCCCTTCCATCCCTCCCTGCCTCTGCTCCTTCCTTCCGTTTCTCTCCCGCCTCCCTCCACTGCTCTTCTCTCCTTTCTTCTCTACTTCCTGCTCTCAGTCTTTCTTCCCTCCATCCCTTCCCGTTCCCTTGCCCCCTTTCTTTACCCACCCCGGTCACTATACAAACACCCCGTTAAAGACTAGCCCCTCAGTCAGCTTCACATGTCTCCCAATAGCTTTCCTGGAAGCAAGAGCATATTAATTCATCGTATTAGTATGTCACGATCATATTAATTAGTCACTTCTCTCTGTAGGGGCTCAACAGTCTGCCTTTGGGCATAGAGCACAGACAGGAAAGAGCCATGCCAGCCGGCCTCCCTCGCAGGGACAGCTGCTGTGATGTCAGAGTGGGAGTGGCCATCAGGCCTCCTGGGCAGACCCAAAACGCAGCCTCCACAAAGTGTCACAGATCATGGGCCTAGAGCCTGGCCCTGGGTCAAGTGACTATACTGACTCTCAGATGACAGAGCAGACTGGGCCCGTGGGTCAGAGATGTGGCTAAAGGTTAGCCCATACCCATGGAACGGCTACGGTGGAGGAACTGATGTCTGCCACGTCACTGAGATGCTGAACATCACAAGCAATGAGTTGTGGTCCTCTCCAGAGCCTTTGTGAGGGGTCTCGCTCATCATTTGTGACTTTATTTCTCACTCACTAGAGAAGTTAGGGGTTTTGTTTCCTTCCCCTAAAAGTTTGCAGGACATGGGCTATTTTTAATCTCTTTATCTTAATCTCCAAAATGATCTGGACGTTCTCCATTTTCCCACAGCACGGCCCACTCAATCAAGAGGTGTTTTTCATTTTTTTTTTTTTTTTAAGTATTCTCATTATTTGTAACTCAGCAGCTTTTCCTGGCTTCCTGCCCCACAAGGCCTCAAGCCTTTCCTGGGGCTACTTCTTTGTTTTGTACGTGTAGGTGTGTATTGTGTGTGCACCTGTGTGTATGTGTGGGAGCACGTAAATGTGTGAGTGCGTGAACATTAGTGTATTGATGTGTGTGAGGGCCTGTGGGTATTGGGACTTAGCCTCAGTTGCTCTCCACCTTGTATCTTGAGGCAAAGTCTCTCAGTTGATCCCAGAGCTTTCCTGCATAGCAGGTCCAACTAGCAGACTCGCTCTGAGGCTTCCTGGTGTCTACTATGTGGGCACACCTGGCTTTTCCATGGGTGCTGGGGGTGCTCTCTAATCCCCCTTGTGGTGATATTGTGTTCCCCAAAATATTGTGCACCCTAATAAACTTATCTGGGGTCAGAGAACAGAACAGCCACTAGACAGACATAGAGGCCAGAAAATGGTGGCACTCACACCTTTAATCCTAGCCTTCTGGAGGCAGAGATCCGTCTGGATCTCTGTGAGTTTAAAGCCACACTGGAAACAGCCAGGCATGGTGACTCACGCCTTTAATCCCAGGAAGTGATGGCAGAAAGGTATATAAGGTGTGAAAACCAGGAACTAGAGCTGATTAAGCTTTTAGGCTTTGAGCAGCAGTTTAGCTGAGATCCATTTGGATGACGACTCAGAGGCTTCCAGTCTGAGGAAACAAGATCAGCTGAGGAATTGGCGAGGTGAGGTGTCTGTGGCTTGTTCTGCGTCTCTGCTCTTCCAGCATTCACCCCAATACCTGGCTTTAGGTTTGATTTTATTAATAAGACCTTCTAACAATTCGTGCTACATCCCCTGTTTCTGCTTTGTCCACTGAGCTGGGGAGGAGGCTGCTATCCCATGGCCAGCTTGGTGTTGGCTCTGGACATCCTCTCACTCTCCTGCCCATACTGAACACGCCTGCGTTCTGCTGCTGAATCATCTTTTTGCGGAAATAGCTAGACAAGTTTCAGTTTCATGCACCTGGACTCTAACCAGCACCAACATCTCAGGGCCTCTGTGTCTGGGGTCTGTCTGTATAAATTCAACCATTTACCTCCCAGTTGTCAAAGCCCCAAGCTTCTGCCTGCCCCAGCTTCTTGAATCTACTCAGACGCCTAAGACTAGTGACCCACAAAACCCCTCATGCCTTCTGCGGGCCGTTGGAAGCTAAAGGCCATCAAAGGTCCATTGTCAAAGGCCTGCTGGGTAGAAACTCTGCCTACTCACCATTTGCAATTCCAATATGGGAGGCAGGAGAATGGAGAGTTCCTGGCCAGCCTGTGCAATGTAGGGGGTCAGTCTTGAAAACCACAGTGAAGAAAACTCAATAAACCACACAAGTTCTACCCTAGCCTAGCTGGGCATGGATGACCATCCCTACCTCATCTGTTTATATGAATTTTGTCTGTTAGAGTGTCACACTACTTAAAGTTGAGGGACTTCCTTCTGCCTCAGTCATTTCTAGAGACAGTTTTCCCTTTTCGGTCTTCAAGGCCTTCTAGGCCTTGTGTTTGTGCCTGCCTATGTCTTAGAAGTACTTTTTACATTTAAAACGCTCGGGGTGTATGTGGGGGCGAGCAGGAGGGAGGAGACAGCGGGAGCTCCCTGCAGCATCAGAGACCCAGTTCTTCTCAGAATCTCTTCAAGATTGACACATACTTTGGGACAGTGACAGGTGAGTTTGTCCCTTGCAGGTCTTGAACCCTGGTGGGATTAGGATAGGGATGGGTCCTTGGAGAGCAACTAGAGACGGGCAATGAGAAGCAGGGCCAGCTGTAGAGCAGCAGTAAGATGGAGGTCACCAGGGCTATGGGCCCTGAGGTAGAGCCTTCCCTTGTTCAGATTCTAATACGGGTGAGGTAACCGGTAACCACTTCCTCGGGGTCACTAGATGCTGTAACATATGTGTTGAACATAGCATTCCCAGAACACAGGACTGTTTCCTATGTGGTTGATAACAGGGTTAGTATTTCATCGCCTGCCGACATCACAAGATCAAATGCAAACAGAATTACTGAGGGTTTGTGGAGGTGGTGGGGAGGAGCAACTGTCTTCTGTTCCCAGCAACAGTGTTGGAACCTCTACAGAATGTGAGCCTGATCCTGAGGTTAACAACCTTGTCTCAGGGTTGCTGAGTCACACAGATTTTTCTCTTAACCAGAGTGCAAGTGTTTGGAGCTCATCATTCAAAGCAAAGTTAATCCCCGAGGAGAGGAGCTTGGCTGAGAGCCCAGAGCCTGTTGACTGGAGCTCCGGAATGCTGGGTAGGAGGGCCAGTCTTGAGGGAGGAGCTGCACGCTCAGTGTGGTCTGTACACTTCTGGATCTGGTTTTGGCATCTCCAGCAGAAGGACCTGAGAAGATAGATGCTGGGGGGGGGGGGGGGCAGGACTCCCAAAGGTGTGTGTGTCCACCTAGGACCTCAGGGGGCCACTTCACTTGGAAATGGCTTCTTTACAGATGCCATTATTCACCACCAAGTCATGGTGAGTTAAGCTGGACCTAAGCCAGAGGTCAGTGTCCTTATAAAGAAAGAGTGCTTGGAGACAGAAGACAGGGAGCAGGGGGAAGGAAGTCTGGTGACCATGGAGACAGCAATCACCCAGGAACAGCACAGGGCTGCTGGCCATTGCCGGGAGCTGAGGAGCCACCGGTGAGGAAGGGAAGTGACCGAGCTGGCGCCTCCACGTGTGGCTGCTTCTCCTCCATGGAGAAATTCTTTCTGATTTGTACTGTCGCTTCGCTTCCAGCAAAGTTTCCTTGCTACTTTGCAATCTGCACAAGCTTTGATTTCATTCTTGAATAAGAG